AAAAAATGTAACAATACCCAGACCCATTTTGCATTGTTATGTCCAGTTTAGCTCCTGTTTCCATGCTGGCTTGTGACAGACACCATGAGTCCAACTGACAGGCGACAGGAGGAGCAGGAGGTGGTTTTCTAACCTGAAAAGAATGTACTAGTGTGCGTGTGCGTGTGTGTGTGTGTAGTATCATGAATCTGGGATATGCACGTTCATTCCAACACTTTTCCAGCTACAGGAACATTTCCATTGTCGGGCGTTAATCCGTAGTGACTTTCAGCCCCTCTGCCCTTGTCCTCGTGTCCACAGGGAATCTGTGTGTAGCACAAAGCTGGAATGTTAGAGGCCTCAGCAGAGGACCTTGACTGCGACCTTTTATTTTGTTTGTCTGCACAGAGAGTAGTAAATCTGCAGATATTACCTTGTCTTTAAGTTATAGATCCAGCACAAACCGATTAACATAATCTGACGAAATTGGTGTGAATATACAGCTCAGCAGGCTTTGCTTTCAACTCTTTGCTTTATTTTGCTGTGACACCTCCAGACCAGTGCAGGAATAAACCGAACACACACCTCTCTTACCGTGTGTTTGTGTGCGAGGGGAGTGTAATTCAATATTGCATGCACAGACGGCAGAATGGAAGGAAAGCAAGTAAATACAAGATTGTTTTGTTATCTGGGCCACGTTTGGCTCAGGAGGATTTGGTTTCCGTCTTCTGTCTTTGGGCGGACATGCTGGGAATCTGCAGCCCAGGAGAGAGGATGAAAGAAGCAGAGGGGGGGAGGCAACTCATCTCCTGTACAAATCACAGCCCTGCTGAATCACAGAAAGTGCTGATCAAGCGTCAGTCTTGGCTAAATGTTGTGCCTATTGTTGCCAAGTCAAAAATTTTCAAGTAGGCAGCTCATCAGCCGTGCATTTCTACAGGCTGGCTGGCAAACGCCGATGTGCCACGACTGCTGCCCCCGATCTATTATTGGTCGGGAAGCCGTCACGTCGTCTTTAAGAGGCTCGTGATGTATCGGCGCATCGTTGTCGTGGTAACACACAAATGAACAGCAACACTGGCAGTGTGGTTTGTGAGCTTTTTAGCCCACACATCGACACAATGCTTTGATCAGAGAGACGCATAGCTGCAGCCAGCCTCACTGAGTCACAGGGAGAGCACAACGTGACGGCTCAGGTTGCCGTCAGTTACAGTCACAAGGGAAATAAGGTTAAAGTCTCACACGGCCGACGTTTGGCGGCACACCGTAGTCATCAAATAAAACTGAAAAAGTGCAGTAAAACCCACAGTCGTGACATTTTGCTGCATCAATCATCAAGCCAAGTGGTTAAAGATAAGCTGAGGCTTTTAAAGTGGTTTTTACGACTTCAAACCAAAGTGGGTTGTTAGTGTCCAACTTCACAGCTCGCTTTTTTTTAATTGCCACAAATGATATTTTCAATTACACATTATCAATCATGCTGACGTTGCCTTGAACTACCCCAGATGCTTGAGGAAATATTTACATGGGAGAGCATTAGCTGGCTAATGTTGTATATTAATCCTGCAGTTTTTTTTAAGATATGACAGTAATGTTCTTGTGTTTGTCTGCAGCACAGAGCACTATAATACTACAATAAACTTTATTTATCAGCACTGATGAATACCACACACATTTACATGACACTTTTCTGCCTCCAAAGTCCAGATGTAATAAACTTCCCGTGCACTCGCTCAGTTCCTCAAGCAGTCTTGTTGTCTGTGTGGGATTTGACAGGCAAACCCCTCCCCATCCATCCAATGTACCCTTCAGCTGAGGGCGCCTTTGCAAACGCTGTGAACAAACACGGATTCGTGGTCCTCGAAAGACGGAAAATTACTTTTCTCAAGAGCGATGTGTCGTTTTGGAACAGTGCCCCCCAATTACTGGGGATAAGCCATCGGAGCTTTGATCAACAGAAAAAACTTCTGGCTACTGTTGTCGTAATCTGTTTGATTTGTGTCAGCCATGTTTCAGTTGGGGCTGTGGTGGTTGGCACTGTTGCCTCGCAGCAAGAAGGTCGCTGGTTCGCGAGGACACCCAGGATCTTTCTGCGTGGAGTTTGCATGTTGTCTGTCTCTAAGTGTAGCCCTGTGATAGACTGGTGACCTGTCCAGGGTGTCCCCTGCCTTCACCCTGAGTCAGCTGGAATAGACTCCAGCCCCCCACGACCCTAGTGAGGATTAAGCGGTGTATAGATAATGGATGGATGGATGTTTCAATTAGAGATGCTCATTGAACAAAACAAGAGATATGAGTGACATTGGACTCTGGGAAGGTGGAAGGGACATGTTTTACTCTTTTTCTTGTGGTTTGAGGGATTATTTTGTCCACTAATTGAATAAATATGGAGATTAATACATAATAAGTGATTGTTAGTTGCTGTTCTTCTCAAACGGAAATGGAACTTGCTATAGCTTGAGGAAACCACAAATTACGTTCCTGTTATTACTGTTGGTAGATGGTGAAAAGATATAACATACTGTACATATACACGAGGGTGCTAGATTACAGGAAATCCTGAACCACTGACCCCTTTTAAAATGAAAGCTCACAGCAAATCAATACAAAGTTGTTCTATGTGATCACGTTTGTGCTGTGACAGAAATGTCTATCCTGATGGGAGTGGTCTCCTTCAGGATGACGATGCCTCCATCCATAGGGCTCAAGGGGTCACTGAATGTTTGAATCATATGCCGTGGCCTTCACAGTGACTAGATCTCAACCCAATGGAGCATTTTCAGATGACGTGTTAGACAGCGTGCTCCACCGCCATCATCGAGACGCCAAATGAGGTCGAAAATGGTGTTTACCCCAACAGTGAAGTTCCAGAGACTTGGAGAATCTGCCTCGAATCTGTTCTAGTGGCATGCTGCAGACTTACCAAGACACTTTATGTTGGTTTTTCCTTTGATTTGTCACACGTCTGTAGCTAAAACTCTCACCACGGCAAGATGGTGCTACGGGAGCTAGTTGGTGTTTTTACAGCACTCGTAAACACAATGTTAAAAGCGCTTCCTGTAGACTTGCAGATAAGGACACACAACAATAAATGCAAATTAAAAGCAAAAACCAGCATCACATAAAATCAGGGAAGGCTTACGGATAAAAGTACATCTTGAGCTTAGATTTAAGACTCTGACCCCCTTAATCTTGTGCAGCAGAGAGAAAGCCCCCTGCACGAGCATCCCAAACTGAGAGCAGGGTCGCGCGAGGATAAAAGGTCTGAGATGTAATGATGAGTCAGTTTATTTTGTGCCTTAAAGTAATTAAAAAGAACCTTAAAATCATTTTTAAATTGCGCAGGAGGAGCTCAAATCTGCTTACTGTGGTTAAAATCCTGGCAGCTGAGTCGTGCACAATCTGTGGCCGATTTATGTTGTTCCATTCAGCCGCATAAAAAGGCTGTTAGGGTAATTCAGGCATGATGGGATGAAAGCATTTGCAATTGTTTCTGTATCTTTAACTCAAAATAGAAGACCTCGGAGGCCGTGCGTTTTGTAATTTCGATGATTGGCCACAGATAGAAAGCAACGCAGCGGTTACGGGAAAATGAAATATGCTCGTGTGAGTGCCAACTGTCGCTTCTGCTGCTGTTCGTAAACACCGGGCTTGGAGTCGGTACCGAAGCTAATGACCGGTATCTGAGCCCTGTGCATGTCAGGAGCAACCTCAGCTTCTACCTGGTGTTTTTGTCGTAATCAGGAGCCCACAGGAGCTGGCCGCCTGCCACCGCTAAAGCAGCAGACGCAGCCTCCTGATTTATTGTATTGAGTTGGCCCAAATAAGCAGACACAGTCCATTACACCACCGCCATTAGAGCAGCAATTGATCCAATTAGGCTGCCATACAATGAGGGGAGGCCGGACATCCAGAAACACGTCAAAATTCATTGGAGGAATGACATCGAGGGCGAGTCTGTGTCACTTTATCCGGCATCAGTGCGCGACCGAGTGGTTTAAAGCAGGTGTGTGAGTCATTCTTCATTTCGCCTGCCTTGCTGCGGGTACAGATTGTCGTGCACGTGTTGCGACTAAATGGGGCTTCCAGCTAATAGATCTGTCGCCATGTAAATCTTAACAGATAACTCTGAGTCAACACGACAAGCCGCGTTCTGAGAAACTCCCCCTCCCACGCCACAAAGACCTTGCAGGACGAGACAAATAAAGCTTGTGATGTCATGCAGCGTCTTCGCATCAAGGTTAAAGTGTTCTTGGTGTCATTTTGGGGCCAGATAGTAGATAGTCCAGTTTAATATTATGATATAGTCTGATTTGGTTGGACATGCTGTGCCGGCTGGAAGATGAAGTTTTGTATCCGTGTACAGATTACATCATTATTACATGTAATATAATGCAAATAAACCATATATAGTTAATGTTTGATGCAATGAACTGCCTCACTCTGAGCTATTACATTTGATTAACTGTCTGAAATAAACTTAAATGACTAGTTTGTTTGTTTCAGCCCAAAATCGTAATAAAGCGATTATCTGCATAGTTGCTGACCTATGCTTTTACTAAGTGTCCTCTGGAGCCAAGCTTTTGCTTGGGAACACCGCACAAACACACAGATGCACAAACACATGCAAGCTGATGTCAGACTGCCCTCTCACCATCTCACATTATGAATATTCATATAATTAGCATACTAGTTACATGCTTGTTGTGGCGCTTTGAAGGTCAGAAACGAGAGAACGCCACTGACTCATATCCTAAATGAGATTAAATGCGCTTTTCCTGCCAAAACGTATCAAACAGAAGCAATTAAAGATTGCAAATTCATGCATAACGTTACTATTCTTTAAATAAACTCACATTAGTGTGATAAACAGTTCAAATATAGCTTCTTGCTGCACATTTCACTGCTAAAACTCACACACCAGCTTCACAAATGTTTCCTGACACAGTATTCAAAGCTTGTGGCTGCCAGTTCTCATGTTCATATCCTCCCCCCTTCGTTCTCTCTCTCTCTCTCTGCAGGAGTTGTCTGAAGCCCGAAACCTCGACGGGTCAGCGGAGCAGGCAACAGACGGACGGACCGGAGTGACGGACATCGGTAGTGGCACAGCGGGCAGCAGCATGGCGTCTGTGGCAGAGTACTACGCTGGCAAGAATGTGCTGATCACAGGAGCCACAGGCTTCATGGGGAAAGTGCTGGTGGAGAAGCTGCTGAGGTCCTGTCCCGAGGTCAAAGCCCTCTACATCCTGGTCAGGCCCAAAGCGGGCCAGTCGATGCAGCAGAGGGTCAGCGACATGATGAAGTGCAAGGTAGGAGCTGAGTGTTGTGTGCATATGGTTTCACCTTTACCACCAAGCAATTGGAATTTGCTGCAGGTCTGATTTTCCCCTCTGGTTAGCCTTGTCTTCATTGCAACCCCTGCCGAGGCTCATGGATGTCATATTTAGAGCGACCTATCGTCCCAGAAGTGTCTCAGAAAACAGGTTGCTCAGAAATTAAAACATGAGCCCATCACATAAAAACACTGTCTGTTGTTATTGTTAAATGGAACTCCTATTGGCTGCCTTTATAATACGTCATAAATCCGGTTTTTAAAAACAGAAAAAGTAGAATTTCTTTTGATTATTTGTTTTCCTAAAAAAGGAATCAACATGTACAGCATTTGTCCAATCCTGTCAGGAGCTCTATATACCAATATACTTGCAAATCTAATTTGTTTTTATTCTTATCATACCTATCTGTGCAAACACATCCTGCAGTTCAGCTGAAAAAGTCCCTGAGTTTTTGTTACACGTGACGGTTTATCGCATGTGAGTCAGCAGTGGCTTCTTAACCACTAAAGAGTGTAGAATTTGTAGTTTTTTACAGAATCCAATTACTACAAATGGTTTATTTTTGGCTGTTTTTTAAATAAGACACTTATAATAGTTATTTTGGTGAAATATCATAATTTTAAGCTTAGATTTGGTGAATTTTCCCACCAAAACTGAAACTTATTCATTATACTTTTGAAATCCGTGGATTTTTCCAGTTTCTAATTCTGATTAATGCTATAGTTGTGGTGATTTTTCAAACCCACCGATGGGTTTTGAGGCTGAACATATCTACAACCATTTTGAAGTACAGTTATGCAGTAACAGCCAGTCTGCACTCCTAGCTGCTTGGTTCAAGTTCTGATTCATGTGCAGCCACACTGTCATCACGCGTTCTGTCATCGTCTCTGCAGTTTGAGGAAGTCGCAGATTATAAAAGCTAAAACGATCTCATCTTCCCCCTCGTGAGCGCTGCAGGTGATGCTTTAAACAAGCGCTGCGTGCAGGTAATGAGGAAAAGCAGCAACCATTTTTTTTAAAGAAAACACTTCTGTCGAACCAGGCGACATTCAACTCATTTGGATGGTCCTCATTCAAATCATCATTCAAAACCACGCTGCCTGTTTAAAGCCTTCGCCGTTGTAAGTGTGTTTACAGAGCAATAGAAATTTGCCTGTGAATTATAGCAGCAGCAGCTTCTGTTGCCATGGTGAAACGAGCTTAATGACCCCAGAAGAGTCCAATAGTTCATCTGTGAGCTTCAGCAGAGACACAAAGAGTCAGAGAGCAACGTGAAGAGTCAGATTATCAAAACTCAAGTGGATGTTGTGTCATCGTATTCTTACCTCCTCCTTTAAAAAAAAAACAAAACACACACACACCAGGTATTTTCAGAAGGTGGATAACAAAGACAGGAAGGCCAGAGGAGGTGAGAGAGGGATGGGACCCGAGAGATCAGAGGGAGAGAAGGAATGATGTGGAAGAGAGAGAGAGAGATGCGAAGGAGGGGTGAGGATGTACTCCAAATATGTGGCGTCAGCTGTATCAGGCTGGGCAACAAAACATGACTCAACAAAAACCTCCAAAGTATGCCGGACTTAATGAGGACCAAAGGATTGACACTGTGTGCGTATTGATGCGCTCGCAAACAGCTGCTGCGTGCTCGCGCTCCTCCGTCTGGGTGTTGTTGGCCTCAAACTGTCAGCACACCTAAGAAAATCACACTTTCTCTGCATTCCTCTTTCTGTCTCCCTTTAATAGCATCTATTTTTACTGCTCTCATTGAACCGCGCTACTGCATTCATTATTCTACTCACCGCCGCGATAGCACAGAGCAGCAGTCGGAGCATTTACGCTTTAATTTAGTCAAGCACTTGTGTTTTTTTTTTTTGTTGGTTTTTTTTTTTTTTTTTGCTTTTTCTTTTATTTCTCCCTCCTCTTGTCAAGGTGAGCGTGATGCCTCCAGCCCTCTGCAATTCACAGAATACCTCTCGCCATGTAATTAGTTCACTCTGACACAACAGTGCTGTAAAAGTGCCAGTTAACAACACCCTGTAATTTCTGCTCAGCAGAAACGAGGAGAGTGGGCGACATGGAGAGATCTTTTTTTCTTTTTTTTCCCCCTCCTCCTAAACGCATTTTCAAATGCATGTTGCTCTTCTGCTGTGGCTTTTAGAGAAGAATGATCAAATGGTTTCTTCTAACTTCAGTTGATTTTTGCTAATATGTCAGCAAGAGGACAAGTGAGTCAGTTTAATTTAATGCTGCAAGTCCAGAAGGTCAAACCTGCAAAAGTAAAAGCTTATTCCTATTTTTTAACAAGACCTTTTAGGATGGACCAGCCTACACTGTATAGACACTTGTGTTAACTCACTGTATTTGCATAGGAAATTCATTGTAGAGCAATATTTTTAAGGTAACGTATTGTGTCTATTGTGCGGTCTTGTACAAAACACTTTTACTTGTAGTAGTTTATTTATAATCAACAAAACTGCCACAATATGTTCATATCAGCTTGAATCTTTGGAAAGCATAGAAACATTGTGAAGTACAATGAAGAAAAAACTGCTGAGCATGACTTTGATTCGCTCCTGTTGCCTTTATTTCAAAATAAGAGCGCATTGTTTAACATAATTTCATCTGAAAAAACGGTCCTACTACTATTAACAGATCCAAAATATTGGAGACAAAGTAACAGAACAATTTTAGCCCAACATGTTCAACTGGATTTGTTGTGCTACGTGGTGCCAAAACGGGATGAAAGTAGTTCTCAGCAGCCCTGTGTCACACAACAATGCCATGTACATGAGTAAAAAATCAATAGGCCTCATGTGGATCAATTTTCCAAATCGTACAAAAGAAATAAATAAGCCGTAATTCCTGTTGCACATCAGCTAATCTTTATCGAAGTGTTTATCCCACCTCATCTTCACAGATATCGACGTATAGTTTATCTTCTGCTAGTGTTTGCAGGATTTCCCCCTCAACAATTTTCCATCGGATTTGGCATCCCTCTAATAGTGTCTGCTATCAGGTCACTGCTTGATGCTCTGCCAAGCACAGGCTCACTCATGCTTGGTCCGCATTCAGTGATGTCATTAAATTTCCATGACCAAGCCTCAAGTACTAATTGGTATTCATGCAAGTCCTCAGGTCAGTATTATTCTGCTCAGAATGGGGATAATTCATGAAGGAGAACTGTGGTTTTGTCTCTCAAGTAGCCTCTCCTCTCATCCTTCAAGCCAGGCCAGTATCTTTCTTACCACCTGTTGCTAGGTAACGACCAGTAGATCTGCCCCACGTTTTCAAAGGATGCAATCAGGGGAGCTGCCCCAAGCAGGAAAAGGACAAGCCGATAGGAATCTCATTGTCTCTGTGCATCTCCACTGCTCCGACTCTGACATTTAAGAAGTGTCTGTCTCTCTGTGTGGAGGCTACCTTTGATTCAGTGGAAATGTTTAGATGGCTACAGTCTCTGCTGTGGTGCCAGCAGCCGAATGGCACGTCAGGCACTTGATAAGTAGGCCTCTGGGTACACAGGGCCTCTCTCCTGCTCTGTGGCATGCTTTTCCCGCCCACTGGCAGGCTGTTGAACCCACTGACAGTGTTTGAGGCTGTGCAGCATCTTCATGCTGCAGGAGCGGCCCCCTGACTCTGAGGGATGTTAGCTGACGAGGTGGGAAGTGGAATGCTTCGGGTAGGAAGGGGAATCTCATGGAATTTGGCCCACAAGGCAGCATCCTGTGGAGAGGAGCCGCTTTACCCTGCATTACTGTAGAAAGGCTTGATCATCGCTTTTAGAGGCTGTTCAGTGATCAATGTGGCAGCTGGAACACAGATGGCTCTAAATGATACTGAAATGTGTGCTTTTGTGTGTGTGTGATATCTCCATTAGGATCATCTGGAGGCTCTTCAAGGAGAGAGTCAAAATGTTTGGAGTTGAAACCACCAGCTGACAGCAAATGCATTTCCTGTAATTTATTTCAGTTTAGTTTTTCAACTCAAAGATCCTTATAAAAAAGTTGCGGAGGAACAGAACAAAGCAGTCGTGATGATTTTGTAGCTCAGAGGAAAACCAATCAACTTAAAAAACAAATACGAATATAGAGCATTTTCAATCTCTTTTCATCTAAATCTTAAAATTAACAAAACTAAGTAGACTTTTTTATGACCAGAGTTCAAAATGGCTAATGTCATTAAATACTTTTAGACAATCTGAAGAATTAAGCTCTGTTTGACCTCTTCCAGTGGCAGGGAACAATCCGGAAACATCTGAACTCCAAACAGTTTCTGCATGTTTTTTACTCCGGTTACATTTTTACTCACTGCGGCTCATTTTTCACTGCAATATAAAGTCCTCCACCTTTTATAAAAAAACAGCACAAACATGGCTAAAGTAGAGGGAATTTACAAAAAATAAGAGTATTTTCTGCAGCATGACAGTTAGAATGTCAATGAATTTGAATATTTCACAGTAAAAAAACATGCACAATGTTTTTTTCAGGAGCCCACATGTGTTACCAATACTGAAAAGAATGTTAACATACCATAGATATGTGTACATTACATTTTTAGTTTGTTACCAAGCTACAGTCGTGTCTGCTTTGTTGCATTTCAGCTGAAAAGTCCCTGAATGTTCATCATGTGACTGTTGGTCACAGCTGAGTCACTGATGGCGTCATGGATGCCCCAAGGAGTGCAGAGTTTTTGTATTTTACAGAATTTGGTTAATGCAAATAGTTTATTTTTGGCTTTTTTTTAAATTAGGCCTTTAGATTGAAGTCATTTCTTTCAAAGTTAAAAATCCAGTTTGATTTAATAGTTTCTGATAAGTGGCGGAAAAATTAGCTTTTTTGTCTCTCTCTTTTCTTTTTTTATTATTTTATATCATGTTAAAATGATATGATAAAAACTCTTAGATGTGGTTAAATGCTCAAAAGCTCGTACAACAGTTTCGATGATATGGACCACAAAAACGATGCTTTTAAGTTGTATCT